CCCATTTCTCTCGGTCTCTCTTTCTCTCTCTCTAAGCCCAGTCTCTGCCACTTCAACAGGTGAGCAGCATTTCTGCGGCTCTCCCTATCAGGAGTCCAGCCCTGGGCCGGGTGGGGGGGCCCTAAGGCCCTTTACATTCTGACTGCCCCTGAACTGTGATTCCAGCAGAGCTCCTTTTCAGCTGTGTGATCTCGGGCAAGTAACTTAACCTCTCTGAACCTCAGTGTCTTCATTTGTGAAAGGGTTAACTGACATGGTCTGAACCATCGGCCCCTTAATGCTGCCCTGTTCTGTTACCCTGATGGCAGAAAGTCCTGCCTTCAGTCTAACCTTAATGACTCCTGCTGCAAAGCAACATCTCCGCCAACCCTTGGAGACCTCAAGTGACTTGCTGCCAAAGGCCAGGACCTTGTGAAGTCCCCTAAAAGTAAATTATCTGGCCTTCTAGGCCTTTTCTCTGACCGCTCCTGAGATGCTGCTAACTAGGGGTGTCACAGCCTGCTCAGTACAAGGACGGAGTTATGGATCTTGGAAAGAAGCAGAGGAACGGCCCTCCTCACCCACTGGGCATGATGCCCACCCGCCCCCCCCCCCCCCCCCCCGCCTGGCGACGCCACACTTCTCCAGGGTTCCTGAGCTCCCCATCCCCCACCTCTCTCCCAGCTTGCAGAGATCGGGATCCCTTTCCCATCCCCCTTTCCTGAGTTTCAGATGAAAGGGGTCCTGTCTCCCACTCTAGGGCCCCCGCCCCGCCCCTCCACACCTCTTCCTCGGGGCTGGGGGGAGGGTGCTCACTGTGGATGCCTCCCCCAGTCCCAGCCTCCGCATCCCAGTCTATACAGGCCTCACCCCCGCCCCTGGCCAGCCTCATCTTTCTCCAGCCCTTCTCAGCCAAGCTTCTTGAAAGAACTCTCTCTACCCCTCACCCTCTCACCTCATGTGTTTCCTTCTCACCAGCACTGCCTCCTGCCTTGTGACCCTGCTTTCCTCCTTCCTGGAAAGGCTCCTCCTCAGATTCTTCTCTGCTCCTTCCCTCTGCCCACTTTGCAGACCCAGGCTTGCCCCAAGAGCTGGCCAGACCTCTTCTCTTCTCTCTGGATGTTTCTCCTGCAGTTTCCATCTCTCCCCAGCTCCAACGGTTCCAATCCCAGCACCAGGGACTCCCATGTCTGTTTCCAGCTACCACTCCCCTGAGCCCCAGACTCTTGAGTTCGACTATGAGCCAAGCATTTTCTCCTGGCTGTCCCTCAGACACCTCCACCCAAACTGCTGTCATTATCTTCTTCCCTATTACATGCTTCTCCCCCACTCCCTGGTGCCCAGGCCAGAAATCAGGACATCACTCCTGCCACTTCTGACCCTTCCTTCCTTACATGGAATCTCTCCAGCCTACACACTGCCTTAGCACAGGTAGGAAAGGCTGCCTCCATCCAGCCAACTCGGGCTTTCCTCGTTGACTTTCCCCGGTGTCTTTGAACAGTAACCGACCTGCACAACTATCTATGACATCCCTGTTCCTTTGCCCTCAAACCCCCAATCCAATCTTGCGGACTCTGTCTCCTCTATTTCTCTCACTTCTGTTCCTTCCCCTCCTCCCCCATTCTCTCTGTCCTAATACAGACCTTGTACTCTCCCAACACACAGCCCAGAGCCTGGCACAAACCAGCCATTCAATAAAGGTTTGTTAAATTGCCAGATCCTCACCTGGATTATCGTAACTGTTCTCTCCCACCCCTCAACCTCAGCTTCTCTGTTTTCCTCAGAACATCCTATAGCTACTCCAACAGTGCTTCTAAACTTTAGTGTGCATCACATGATTTTAAAAACACAGGCTCCTAGCCCATACCCTCAGGGATCCTGATTCAGTAAGTGTGGAGCATGGCCCAGCATCTGCAGTTCTAACAACCTCTCAGGTGACACTAATGCTGCCTATATGTGAACCACACTTTGGCACAGCTCTGCCATGGCCGTCCCCACTCTGGATTCTCCAGTGACTCCCTGGTACCAACATGATAAATCCCACGTTATTCTGCAGCTCACATAGCTTATTGGAGAAGGTATATAGTTGTCCCTCTGCATCCACGGGTGATTGGTTCCAAGACCCCCCATGGATACCAAAAATCTAAGAATGCTTGAGTCTTTTATATAAAATGATGTGGTGGGACTCCCCTGGTGGTCCAGTGGCTAAGACTCTGATCTCTCAATGCTGGGTCCCTGGGTTTGATCCCTGGTTGGGGAACTAGATCCCACATGCCACAACTAAGACACTGAGCAGCCAAATAAATAAATAAAAATAATTTTTTTTTAAATGGTGTGGTATCTGCATATAACCTATGCACATCCTCACATATACTTTAAATCATTTATAATGCTGATTACAATGTAAATGCTATATAAGTAGTTGCTGGGATACAAGGTAAACTTAAATTTTGCTTTTTGGAAATTTTGGGAATTGGTTTTCAAGTATTTTTGATTCACAGTTGGCCGAATTTGAGGATGGACATGGAACATGCGGATACAGAGGGCTGACTGTACTTTAGATTCAGTGGTAATTTGGATAAAGAAAGCAGAGAGGATGGCGAGATCATAGTGAGGCTGGCAGACCCCTGAGATCACAGCTGGTGGGGAGACACACTCCAGGTCTAAGGGTCATGTGTGTAAGGAAGAGGTTGGGGACCAGCTTGTTGTGGGAACCATGTGGGTGATTGACATGCCCACACAGACCCTTCCGCCACATCTGTCTCTGACTCCAGATCCTCACCGGCCTGTGTATCTGAGACGTCTCCTGGGAGGTCTCTCTCCTGTCTCAGTGTCACCATCCCATTTGCCCACCCCGTTTATCTTCCTCTGCTCTCTTGTGCCTTATACCTAGGTCCTGTTAGAGGTCCTGAAATCTCTAGCTGCTGGTCACTTGATGGGAGCCTCCAGAAGGCCAGCATTTGTGGCCTTAATGCTAACGTCAGGTCTGGGGCTGACCTCCCTACATGATCCCTGAGCAGCCCCACAAGGCCTGGGTGGAGACTTGCGGGGTCCAGTCCCCATGACCTCACTGTCCTGCAGGTCACTGAGACTCTGAACCTCTCAAATTTAAATGTGCAAGCGTGAGGACTGTTTCGAAGCTAAAGAGCTACCTGGAATCTGAGAGTTGGGAGATAGAGGTAGGTGGCTAGGCTGGGACAGGGCTGCCTGGAGAACACCTTATTGTCCAGACTGATGGCAGGACAGGAGTGCCGCCCTCTCCCCACCTTGTCTACACAACCAAGTTTCAGTTCTACCGAGTCCCAACACCCGTCAACCCTGCAGATGAAGAAGACCTTAGACCACAGGGGACCTCAACTTGCAAAACAGCATTGGAAGGAGGTTTTAAGGACAGAGTTCAACATGCTCATAGAGGCAAGAGATGGTGGAATATTCCAAATTGACTGGGCAAAGAAGAGCGAGGGGCTTCTAGGATGGGTAATATCTAGGAGGCAGAGAACCTGTGGGTCTGAAACTTGAGAGGGAGTGATATAGGCTGGAGATTAAAATAGTGCTTCATTGGCGGCATTGCTGCAGCCTAGATGAGGGCCATGAGCTCACCCTTAGGGAAATCACCCATGTTTAGGGGTGAGAGGAGAACCAGCATCCTGAATCCAGACACCCCGAACTTCTTGATGTTTCCCTGTACCCACTGCCCACCTTTGCCTGCACAATCCTGTTTGCCTGAATTGCCCTTTCTTTCTTTCTCCAGGTGGTGGTAGTTTTGGTCGCTAAGTCATGTCCGACTCTTGCAACCCCAGGGACTGTAGCCTGCCAGGCTCTTCTGTCCATGGGATTTCCCAAGCAACAATACTGGAGTGGGTTAGCATTTCCTTTCTCCAGGCAAACATGTTATTCCTCATTTAAGACCCAGTTAAATGCCTCCTCCTCCAAGCAGTCTTCCCTGCCTCCCTCAGGCAGAAAAGCTCCTCCTCCAGGGCCTGTCTTCCCCAAAACCCATCTCATCCTTAGCTGGGGCTCAGCACATAGTAGGTGCTCAGTACAGTCTGCAGCCTGGGTGCTCTAGCTCCTGGCCTCTGACAACTCCACCTCCAACCTCCTGCCAGCCTGCAAGATGGCTTCCCATAGGGTCCTTTTTCCTTGGTGGCTCTTCCAGAGTCCTTCTCAGTTCTGGGCTGGAGGGGGCTTGGGCTGACCTCCCTCCCTGAAGGCGACTAGGTCCACTTCCCAGGCCACCAATCTCTGCTCGTCTCTGAGGCTAGCCAGCCCACCACTACCCTGGGGAGGGGCATCTTGGGGGGTAACAGAATGTCCAGGGAGGCAGGAACAGCCAGGTGGGCGCAAATGAACCAGAAGGAGCCCAGCAGCAGACAGGAGCCAGGGCAGCCTCGTATCCTCAGGCAGGTGGCCAGGGGACTGGCCCTTCCTCGCCAGGGGCTCAGGCCTCAGCTGGTGCCATTGCTCACTTCCCAGAAGAGGCCTTGAGCTTTTGAGCGAGACTGGACATTGGAGGGCCACCAGACACGGGCACCCCCAGGCCCTAGGCTGAGCCCCGCCTTCTCAGCCGCCTGTCCCTCCCCCCACCCCCGCCTTCTGGTTCACATTTGCAGCCTTTTCCGGAGCGCCACCCGCCGCCCGCTGCCTCCGCACGCCTGCCAAGATTCCTGAGCCTTCGCGGCTTCCCTGCGCGGTGGCGGCAGCTTCGGCACCGGCAGGAGACGCTGGGTTGGGCAGGGAGGGGGCCCGGCGGGAGCACGGCCAGGCCACTGCACCCAGGCAGGCCAAGCAAACACGGCCGCGCCAAGGAACTGGGGCGAAATAGTTCACAAATGAGAAAAAGCTGCTTCCGAGTTGGGCCGGAGGGAGCTGAGGTCACCTGCAAGAGGGGCTGCCGGCTAGGACACCCTGAGGCCGGGAGGGGCTTCCGCGGCAGCTGGGGGGAACGAGGGCAGATGGCCCGCAAGCACAGGCCTCATGCAGCCTGGGATACTGGAGAACCCCTGCCCCCAAATCTAGCTTACCTTTCAGGTCGGAGGGGCCTCTGAAGGTCCCAGCAGAGACAAGGCCTGAGAATTGAAAGAGGGAAACTGAGAAAGATGCCAGGAGCTGGGGAAGCCTCCTGCCCTAACTCACAGCCACACTAGGGCCTGCCATGGGCTTTTTGCCAGGAGCCCCTGCTGGAACACTGGCCCCCAACCTCAGTCTCTTCTCAGGGAGCCAAGATGTGTGCTCCCCCACCGACTTCATTCATTCCAGGCACACTCAGCAGTGCCCACAGGGGACCTGGCCCTGAGTTGCTGTGATTCTTCCTGTCCTAGGGCCCAGGCTGAGAAAGCCCCTTCTGTGTGCCAGGATCCAGGCTGAAGAAGTCCCTACACTCTGCCAGACCCCAGGCTGGGGTGGTCCCTACCATAGACTCGGGTTCCAGCTGGGGAAGCTCCCACTGGGTATGGAACCCGAGGCTAGGCCACGGCTCCTGGCTCAGCGCCCTGCCCGGCCCTGAACTAGCCGGAGGCATCAGACAAGTGGCCATCACACAGTTGCCCAAGGTCTCTGGGTCATGGGAGTACACAGCAGAGTATACTGTCCTCCCTTGAGTTTCCCTAGAAGACTTCATGTGGGAAGGGGCTGGATCCTGAAGGGTGAGTAGGAGTCTGACAGGCAGGCAAAGTAAGAAAAGGAATTTCAGGCAGTAGGAAGCTGCTCGGCAGATACAGGGAAGGTCCAGAAGTGCCATGAGGTTGAGAGGATGAGCAGGAGCTGAGAGGGCCGGGCCAATTTGGTGAAGAGCCTTAAATGCTATGCTTGCGTTTCTCTGTGAGGCAATGGGGAGCCATGGATGGTTGTTGAGCAGGGCACATGATGTGGTTACAGCCCGCGATGGTTGATTTCTGGCTCAATCAACCATGATGCCTGACTATCATAAGCCCTAGTCCAGGTCACACAGCAGAGCTGGGGCCCTAGTCCAAGCCCAGACATGAATCCTGGGTGGATGGGGAGGGGATGCCTAGCCAGCCCACCTGGCAGGGAGGCCTGCCGGCCGCGTCACTCTCTCCCCCAGCTGCTTGCTCGCCTCTGTCCGCTCCCATGGAAACTTTGACATCCCAGTCCTCTCCCCGCACAAGCAGCCAGCTGCCAGAGCCAGCGGCTCCTAGGCCCTCTCTCCAGCTCAGCTGAGCCCTGCCCCCGTCAGTGCCACTCTGACACCGTGACCCCAGAGCTGGGTCATGAGGCTGCTCTCTCTGAGGGCCCAGCCTGGCTGACGGAGCATGGGTGGGAGGTTCTCACTGCCCAACTTGACCCTGGCTTCTCTGCCCCAGTCCCCCATCCTCACCATGAGGCTCAGGAAGAGGAAGTGACTTATTTTGGATCCAGGCTTTTGAAAGATGAACATAGATTTAACTGGGTGGTGGTGGGGAAAGGTAATCAGTCCAGGCTAAAGTAGCAGCATGTGTGAGGGTATGGAGGCCTGAACGTTGTGAATATAATTAAATAAATGAACTAACTAATCATAGCTGACACTTATTATGCACCTATTATGTGCCAGGGACTCTTCTGGTTCTTCTCATGAACTGTCTCATTTAGTCCTCAGACCAACCCAATGAAGTATATGTTCTTTGCCTTTCCTTTTTACAGAATGGGAAACCAAGGGACAGAGAGGTTAAGTAATTGGCCAAAGGTCACACAGCTCATGATGGGTAGAGCCTAGGCTGTTGGTGCCAAAGCTTGGGCTCCTAACCTCTTTAAATACAGATGGTTTGAGATGAGAAGAACTGGCTGAGATCAGCCTGAGAAATGCCTTAAATATCAGAATCAAAGACCCTGATACTGGGAAAGATTGAAGGCAAAAGTAGAAGGGGTGGCAGAGGATGAGAAGGTGAGACAGCATCACCGACAACATAAATTTAAGCAGGCTCTGCAGATAGTGAAGGACAGGGGGTCGCAGAGTCAGACACGACTTAGCAACTGAACAACAGCATCAGCATCAGAGACCCCAAGCGCAGCTTAAAGCTGGCTCTCCAAGCCCTTCACACATTAGCCCTTAATAATAATGGTCTCTAGAAATCCCAGGTATAAGGAATTCCCTGTCAGTCCAGTGGTTAGGACTCTGTGCTTCCATTGCTGTGCCATGGATTCGATCCACAGTCAGGGAACTAAGACCCATGAAATGCACAGTGTGGCCAAAAAATAAAAAGCAACAAATAAAAATCCCAAGCACACTTTATGCACCAGACATTATGCGTGCGCCTGTAAGGCGGGAATTGCTATCGCTTTTTTGAAGAGGAGGGTTGAGGCCCAGAGAGGTGACATCCATTCTCCACGGTGAAGCACCAGGACTAGGATCTGAACCTCGGGGCTTGCCAGCCCTCAGATGGCCAAACCCCGGTTCACTTGGGCTTCCTGGAGACTGCCGCCACGGTAATGCTCCCCACTCCTCCTCCACCCCCGTCTGTGCTGCCTCGACCCAGATGGCAAGAGAGACCAGCAGGGCTGGCGACAGAGTGGGCCGCTCCTACCCCGGGCCTCAGGAGCTCACTCCAACTGACCAAGGCTCCTTCAGTCCTACTAAATAGGAAAGTGGGGCGGGTGGGTGTGCCAGGGCAGGGCCTGAGCCCGCTTCAATGGGACTCTGTTCTTAACCTGCTCTCTCAGCTGCCTTCCCTAATCTCCTGAGCCCCTCCCCTGGCGACGTCGCCTCCTTGCACAGTGCCTGCCTCCAGCTAAATCCCAGACCAGAGGTGGGTGGGACAGTCTGCACCCCCTTGTCCCCCACCATCTTCTGAGAGCTCAGGCTCCCTAAGGACACTGGCCAGGGCCCCAGGCCCGCTCCCCCATCCCAACTTTCCAAACAGGGGTGCGGATTGATGGCCAGGAGGCAAAGAGTCGACTCCTCCCAGAGCGGGGCTCATGGGAGAAGTATCCGTTTTCGGAGCCCTTACTGGGAGCTGGCCCTCCACTGAGAGTCCTGCTTAAAAAATCATGACAGGGTATGAACCGCTCTGGAGCCCAGCTGCTCACATTCCTCTCTCGGCCCTGCCTCTTACTAGCAGTGACCTCATTCATTTGTGCCTCAGCTTCTTCGTCAGTAACATGGGAGGAATTCCTACTTCACAGAGCGCTGGAGAAGATGAAGGGTGTTCATTTCACGTAGCCGACTTCCAGCAGCGCTAGGCACGAGGGAACATTCAATATAGGTTTGCTATTATCATCGTCTTCATCGTAAGGGAACATTCATTAAATGTTTGCTATTATCATTGTCTTCATCGCCATGACTGGCCTCCCCCAAAGCCCTGGTGAGACTAAATTATAAACCCTATTTTACAGATGAAGAACCGGAGGCTAGAGACAAGTCCCTCGCCCAGGTCTGCCAGCCAGCCCGTGGTGAATGATGCCAGAATTGGGACCCGAGCCCAGTGAGTTCACAGATGATGACAGTCTCGCGGCTCCCTGGAGCTGAGGGCCAGTGTGCACGCAGGTGTGCGAGTGTTGGGTTTGGGCCGGGGGGGTGGGGGGGGTCCTCCACATCCCCTCAGCCCCTCCTGCCTGACCCCCAGGGGCTCCTCTGCCCAAGCCCCTGCCGCCGCTGCAGGAGGGGGCTGTGCATTCCTGGCTAAGCAGCCGGATTTGCTGTGCTCCGGGAACTATGAAAAGAATGTTTGCCACGAGCTGAGCCGTGGTCGCCTGTCAGAGGGAGCGTGGCCTGGAGGGCCCACGCAGAGCTGTGTGGCGGCCAGCAGCCGCCGCGGTGGGAGGGAAGCAGGCTAGACGGGAGACAGCTTCTGGTTAGCGACGGCAGTGGACGCTGCAGGGGGGTGGCGACCGAAGAGTCGGCCTCCTGGGGCCGTTTGGGAGAAGAGAAAGGACCCCTCCCCACACACAATTGACACTGCTCCTCATCGCAGGCTCCAAGGAGATCCGAGGAGGCATTACTGGCCCATCTCATGGATGGGCTTATGGAGACCCAGGGGGAAGCTCACTGCCGTGGCAGAGTTGAGACCCGAGGTCCGCACCCCATCCTCCCAGAAACCACCCTCCCTCACAGGGCCCACCAGGCCCACAACACATCCTGAGATACCAGAAAACACCATGCCAGCCCTCACTGTCCTAGCCACGCTTCCGGCCTGCCCTTCTCATGATTACTGCTCCCCACATTTCCTGTCCCTCAAAAAAGTACCTTGTGTATGACAGTGCCTAGCACACCGTGGACCAATGAGAAACAATTAAGTTTCCATTCCCTTCCCCCCACAAACCGAGCCCTGGAGAGGGTGGTAACCTAGGAGGTCAGCGGGGGAAGAACATGAGCTGTACATCCTTATGAACCTGGGAATGAATCCCAGCTTGACACTCCAAAGGGGGATGCATGGCCAGGTTACAGGCCTCTCTGAGCCCTCCACTTCTCCCTCTGTCAAATGGGCTACCGACCTTTGCCTTGCAGCAGTGTAATGAGGACTAAATGAGATATGCAAACACAGGTCCTGGCGCATAGTGGCTGCCCAGTAAACTCTTATTGTTACTCTCCCCCAAGGGGACAGAAAGAATTGAAGTTAGAAAACCTCTGATGACAAGGTCCCCTCCATCCCAGGTTCTGGATGGCCCCTGTGAGGGGAGTACAGCCTCCGGCGGGAAGCCAAGCCTGAGCCCAGGGTCCCATCCATCCTAAGGGCTCAATTCCGCCACTGGCTGCTGTGTGACCCTCGGCGAGTTCCTCTCTGAGTCTCTGTAATCCCATCCAGGAGATGAGCCAGCAGTGCTGGCATGGCTCTCTCCAGGAGGCAGTAACCCGCTGCCACCCGCTTCTTCTGCCCTCTAAGAGCCAAGAATCTCAGCCTGCATGGGGACAGTCACCTCTCAGTTCAAAACTTTCCAAGAATCTGAATGGAAGTAGGGCCAGGCCCTCCCCTGTCCCTTCCCAGGATCCAACCAGAGGGGTGTAACAGACTCTGATCAGAAGTCTGGGTGAAAGTTCTTGGCTCTGCACCCTGATCATGTGTGACCTGGGACTACTCCTCACCTCTCTGTAGGCAAAAGGACCCTGGAAACCAGCATTAGCATTCCCATTTTATAGATGAGGAAACTGAGGCACAGAAATGGGAAGACACTTACTCAGAGTCACGTGGAAAGTAACCCCGATCTGAGTCCCAAGATCAGCTCTTCCCCTCACTGCACATGCTGCTTTCACTTAAGACCCGCTGTCCACATCCCACCACCCTGGAAATGCCCACAGAACACAGCAGGCCTGAAAGGCCCTTTCGGGGACCATGACTTCCCTAGCTGATGTCTGGGCACACATGTGCACACATATGGCCTCACACACCCACTCAGGCTTCTAAACATACATACTCAGGCCTTACAGACACTAACTAGCCCCCAGACTCATGGCCATACTCAACAGTCAGCCCCCTGCACCTAAGCATACCAGTCCCTGGAGTTCACACCCACATCTCCCCTTGATCTGCCTCCTCTGGGGTCAGACCACAGTCACTCAGGGCACGATTCCTGGCCCACCCTCTCCTCACCCCCACAGTCAAGCATCACTGAGGCCTGTCCAGTCTCTCTCCTTATTCCTCTCCATCTATAGCTTCCTCTTATCCCCATGGCAACCACTCACCTCAGCCTCCGTCATCTTCCTCCTCAAACTCTTGTCCAGCCTCCTAAGTGGCCTCCTCGCCCCCCAGAGCAACCAGAGTGATCCCCAATTTGCACCACTCTGCAGCTCACACCCTTTCTCTGAACAAGGTCCTAGGAAATCTGACCTCAAAGTAGTTGTCAGTCCCTCCACCTCACTCCCCCACCATGTGAGCTGTGAGCCCTGAGCCAGCAACTACTCACCACCCCCAGAGAGAACTCTGCAGCTTCCCACCTCCACACCTTCGCATATGCTGTCCCTTCTGACTGGAATGTCCTCATTTACCCTTTCCTCCCCTTGCACCTGTCAAAGTCCTCATTCTCCCTGAAAACCCCAGCTAGAGTCACCTCTTCGCTGCCTCTCCTGATGGCCCCTCCACACACACTTTGGCTTACAAGGTGCCTCCCCCCACGTACCTCAGTGGGCACCCTGAGACACAGCTGCACCCCATATGAGAGGCTGCTGCGCCTCTGTAA